AAACATGACGGTTCAAAATTATATGTATTATTTGGAGATCGTGAGATGCGGTCTGGTGTGATGTAGGTTAATAAAAACATTTTCTTTGTCGTGCAATGTTTCGATTTTTAGTGAGATCATCTTCAAGGCCTGGGATTTATAAATATTGTTTAAATTATACAAATACGTGTAGGATGTGAAAAAGTAAATTTATACAATGATAGAAATTTTACATTCAATCAAAATATTTTTACTGACCCAAATTGTTTGTTTTCTGTGTAGATGTGTCAAGATAGTGTGTCGTGTTGAAAGTGCTCGTGAGATATTGATGTTTTATGTTTATGTACGTTGGATTATGAAGGGGTGGAGAAGGGATAGAAAAACATTTTTATATGAGTATATATCTCACGATCCCCAAATGATCATTAACCAACGGTCACTAAACACCACACATTATATGCATTAATTAAGGTTTTTAGTTGAGATAAAAAAGTCAGTGTCACGAGCAGGATTCGAACCCACGACCTTCGGCTAGATACGCCGCTGCTCTCCCACCTGAGCTATCGTGACCTCGATCCACTCGGACACTAACTTCCCATCTCAACCCCACCTTTTGAATTTTCCCTCCTTTTTGCCATTTTTCNTTAAAGAACATTGCTTTAAAGTAACTAGTTTCTTTTTTTTTGTTTAATACCAAAATCCTGCATTATTTTCCGGACAACCCAATATTTGATTCTCGGCGACAAACGGCGACTATCTACGACTAGCCGAAGGTCGTGGGTTCGAATCCTGCTCGTGACACTGACTTTTTTATCTCAACTAAAAACCTTAATTAATTGAAAGATTTAATTGGTCAAGCGGACCTCGAAACCTAGTGAATTATGTGCATTGTTTCAAATCGGGAGAGAGAATTATCGGTTTTTCCATGAGTAAAAAACTCGTTTTTTGCCCAAAAATCGCGAATAACTCAAAAACAGTTGAGAAATTGGTCAAAGTGGAAGGTGACCAACTGAAAGCTTATTAAAATTTCCTATCGATACATGTAATGGGCTGCTCTCGGATGATTTTCTGAGTTCATATCTCAATTTCAATTTTTCCTTCTAAAAGCGAAAAAATTAAGATGTTCCTGAATTTTTGAATTTACTGATGAATGTCTGAAGCTAGGAAGAAATTTAAAAAGCCATCTTCTTCAGTGAAAAATTAAGAAATGAGACCTATCGCAGGTCTGTAACTTAAAAGACTGACAAAATATCCATTTCTAAATTTGTTAATTTCTTTGAGCAAAAACCATGCGGCCGGTTTTGTCAGTCAGTTTTTTTTACTTAATTTTTATGCATTAATGCTTTATTTAGGCCACTTCTTTATTAACGTTATTGTTCATATATCATACACTTGAAGGCAAGTTTTGTAAAACTAACCGATAAAACATTTGGAACCTATTTGCTGGAATGTTAAGTTTGAGCTTTATTGATGATCGTTTACTGTCAGCACAAGATCATATAATGCTACTTTCTCTTTGAAATACGCAGGAAAGCAGAGAAAGACTTGCCGATGATTTAGCAAGTTTGTTCAAGAATTATCGTGCGAGAGATATGTAGCCTAGATGATTAATGCTAGCTGTGTAATAGCCAAGTAATATTTTCATGATCAGAAACTTGGATAATCTACCGTATAATGTGAATGTCTAACTTTTCGCTTTTAAATACGTGATCCAATTCTTCAAATCAAACTATTTGATTACATTTCACATCTTCAAATACATCAAATTTATTTATTTTGGACATATTATTTATTATGTGATGAAAAAAAAAGTGCTCTGAATAATTATAAAAATTAATAGGTTATGGGAAAAGAGAAACCTTTTTCTTCTGAGAAACGTTTTGTGGAATTAGAAAAAAATCCGTTTGATAAAACGAGAAGGCCAATTCTATCAATAATATTTCCAGTATCAAGGTGTTCAAGCGATAAGAGCAACATTTTTTCAATAACAACCCCTAGACCTGAAATTTCGACGGTGATGCAGCTCTCGGGCAGAGACGTGCTTTTTCCTCCACCATGTACGTTCCAGACCGACTTCACCCTTTTATCCTCTATTACTATCAATTTGAAATTGACAAACGAGCAAATATTCTGGAAGCTGACGGGTTTTAATGAATTTATTGACGCGCCGTAGTCGTAAAGTCATTTTTTGTAATTACCCGGGATTGATAAAAAATAATATCTAGTTCGAAGAAAAACGTTGTTCTACGCTATTTTTTTTTTTAAATTTCAATCGTACTTCAAATTTTCAACAAGTATAAATGGTAAAACAAGGAGCATACTGTATAAAATAATACACACAACGAAGTGTAAGGATTGAACGGCGACCATGAGTGCGCTTGGCCACTACGGTGACTATAAAATCGCAACGTTTTTTTTTTTTGGCAAGTCGCCGAGGTATTAGAATAAATAGAAGAATAATTTCCGTCGAGGACCTCACTGCATCCATGCCAACATAAATCTTCTATCTTCTGTAGGTAAGCTATATGGTGGGTAACCATGGTACTCCATATTCCGATGGTAGCCGATCTAACATCATCAATCTCGCTAATAAATACAGCTACTCAACATACTGAACTATTAAATTCACTAATTTCGTGGTCCGCTTGACCAATTCATATATTACAATTAATTAAGGTTTTTAGTTGAGATAAAAAAGTCAATGGCACGAGCGGGATTCGAACCCACGATCTTCGGCTAGATACGCTGCTGCTCTACCACATGAGCTATCGTGTCTTTGATCCACTCGGACACTAACTTCCCATCTCAACAAATTCAAAAGGTAGGGTTGAGATGGGAAGTTAGTGTCCGAGTGGATCGAGGTCACGATAGCTCAAGTGGTAGAGCAGCGGCGTATCTAGCCGAAGATCGTGGGTTCGAATCCCGCACGTGCCATTGACTTTTTTGTCTCAACTAAAAACCTTAATTAATTGTAATACTAAACTATTTACAATTAAAACATATAGGGTGGCCACTCACACCAAACACACCTAACTTATACTATACTTATTCATATAGAATTCTAGTTAATAAATATATTCATCAGTACTTGTAACATAATATCGGCGTACGAGCAGATTATATTATTACGTCATACATATTCACCGCTTGTAAATTTGTTCTGAAGTTGGTACTTCCGATAGTCACCGCTATGCACTAAAATTGTCCTTTGATCCGAGGGTAGGCCACGCCGTTCTCTATAAATTTGTAATCCCTCGCATTCTACTAATTGTGGCATCGTTTTTGTTGACCTCCCACTGAGTAATCCTTTCTTTTTTCTTCCTTTTCCCCCACGGGCCACGGTTTGACTGTATTTTTTATACTTTTTAGTTTTCCGGTCAGGCTAGTGGAGCAGCTTTGCAGACTAGCCCTGGGCCGTGTGGGGTTGCGGCGTTTCCGTTCACATAACCTTTGTGTTGCATTAAAAAAAAGTTATCGGGTAAACAAAACCATATTTTCTACCTACGTTTGAAAAATACTCTGAGCGTGACTTAGACTCAGCAAAGGGTGTAAAGCAAATAATTGTTTTAGCATATTTCTTCACACATCTGCAATCAACATATATGAAGTACTTAATGGTGATATTTTTCTGATCCTGAAAAATTGGTATGATCATTCCACTCCCACATCCCGGCAAATGTCCCATTTCACCTTTAAATGAACGTCACAGGATAATAAAATTCCTAACTAAACATAACATTTTAATGTCTAATCAATTTGGTTTTAGGTCAAATCATTTCAACATGTAGCTTGCCCGACACCCTTAATTTTGACATAAACAAACACTACAATGGTACTGGTTGTCACTGCAAAGGTTTTTATCTCAAACACAGATGTCTCATAACATTTTATGCCAAAGTAGTAGGACTTCAGTCACCCTAAAGGACCATTGGAGCCGGGCGTTCCCCAGAGCGACGTGCCGTGCCCTACACTATTTAACAACTTTATTAATAACAATATTGAACTAATACTTTCAATAGAAAATTTTTTCATTCATTCAGCAAGTATAAAATTAGGATATATAGCAGCAAAACTGAAGCTATAGTGTTTTCATAGGATCATAGTAGACTATGTGAGGGTTGCTAACGAGGCCATCACATCATCATCCGAGAAGCTCTTGAGTGTGAATAATCGATAAGTGGCCTACAGAAAGTTTAAACTAGAAGAAGGATCATTCTAACCCGATTGAGAATAGGCCATACACGGATGATACATGGAAACCTACTTTCGACCCGCGTATGCTTCTGGCAAGTCGTGAAAGGTTGCTTGATATGCCCTACCCAATGAGTAAGAATGCCAAAATTTTTGGAGGAAACAGGGGTATTTTTGTGTATGTATTCAATTTGTTTTGCAGTTAATTTTATTATATATAACAAGTTTGGTCATATATGAATTTTCTGTTAACTGTTTTGTGAGAATGTATTTACAAGCGTGAATTTGTGTGTGTAGTGCAGAGAGTCGATGGCGAAATATCAATTTGCCGAATCGACCTTCATTTAAACTAGTTAAGGAATGTGTAAAGAGTTATGGAGGAATTACGAGTACTCCATTATCCTTCTTGATTAAATGGTATAAAAATAAGAAAGAAGGTATTTAAAAATGAGCAAGAGGTGAGTGTGTTTTGCTTAAAAGTGCGTAGCAGGCTGAAATGACCTGGTCGATAAACCTTGGAGCGACACTTCGACGGTGGTACGGATAAAACAGAGGTGCAAGTGTATATATGTGCAGAATTGAGCTTATGTAAATAAATCAATAAAAAAATAAAAAGCTCAACATGGCCGAAATATCTTGAAGCTAATTTATTAGAGATGAGAAAATATTAATGCTGAATATTTTTTCGCAAAGTAAATTTTTTCTATTGATTTTTTTTACAACTGTTGTTAAGACAATACAGTCGATTAAATTGATTGATATTTCTCAAACTGCTTTTAAAACATTGTTATTTCATCGTGGCGTCATTAGGTCGAAATTTATCTGCAAACCTTGTATTCATAACGTGGTCCTCGTGGTTGCCCCGATTGAGATAAATGCCGTCCGGGAAAACGAGCATGCATGTCAAAAGCAGTAGAAAGACTTCCATGCCCTTCCGGCCCCGGTCGACGAAGTCACCGTTGAAAATGTAGGGGTTTTCTGCCGAAGGAAGACCGTTCTGGAAATGAAAGAACAGAAAGACTAGAGCGGCTAAAAAGATCGAAGTAAAACAATTGTAATTATTAACAAACAAAAGAAGTTGGAAGAGGGTATTTAAAAATATAGGGAGACTTCAAAATTAAAAATTAAATTGCTGTGCTAATTTCTATCTGGAATTCCAGGCGTGGCGGGCTTATTTAAATTAATTATCTTGGGTTTTTGTGCCATTCAAACTATTCAGTTTTTTCTTGTAAGTGTAAGAAATTTAAGTTGCCAATTTAAAATATTTTCTAAAGAGGAAAAACGCTAAAGTATAATTATATAAAAGGGATATACCAGCAAATCACGACGAATTTTTCTCGAAATTCATGTTGAATTAATATTGTAAAGCTTTTCAGTAATTATACCAACACCATTAAATTTTCCAATCTAACTAATGAAAATTTATGAAAAAATCTTTCAACTTCATTATTATAAAACTAGACATATAAGATTTTTTTATTTTAGATTTTTTTTACATAAAATTACCTTATAGAAAATAACAAGGAGATCGTCTAACTTGCCGTGCAAGTCTCCGCAGATGGTGACCTGTTTCGAAATCCCCGTGGTGACCTGGTTCAGATTTGGCATCTTTTTCAAGTGCTGCGCCGCCTGCTTGAGGATCCCGGCGACGTACTTAGCGTGAAGTCTGTGTTGCTGTTAAAAATGAAAATTAGAACAATTTTTCTCCTTGTCTAATAGCCGGGAAAATCCCGTTCAAATCTATAAATGATTTATTATCAACAATTTTGAGTCGATTGATGTTTTTTATGGCAGTATTGTTAAAAGTTAAGATCGAATGGTTACAAAGAAACACCGAACTTTCTCAGGTTAAATTATAGCCACCTTGTAATAGAAAATGGTTTGTTAAATGAGATGACACAACTTTATTCAGGTCGTTTATCCCCTTCAGTCGAAATTACCTTTTTCTTTCTAAAGGATTCTATGAGGTTGTCAAAGTCCTTTCTCTGCATTGGAAAACCGAGATGAATTCCCCTGTAGTTCGTCTCTGTCCTAGACGTCGGCGAACTGGCCTCGCTCGGCGACTCATCCTCGTACCTAGTCTCGACAGTTGTATCTACAAAAATATGAATTTCATTATGTCAATGGTTTTAGAAGTGAAAAGTAACGTCCAAAACTATTTTCAAACGTCGTAAATATTGATAGTACAAACCTAAGAATTAATCAACCATATATTTTTTTAAAATGTTTTGACTTGTGGATACATCAATCCTTCATGCTTTTTATCCTAGCATTGTAAATATTTAATTTTTTAAATATGCTGTTCTGCGTACTGTTACATACGTGCGTTATCACTTAATAGCAGGAGAATTTAAACCATCAGTCACCTAGAACTTTTGGGCTTAACATATATTATCATATATTTACCTATTTTGTAATATCACACAAAATAGAATCAGTATGAAAAGCTTCATAGCTCATTTTACAACAATAAAGTTTACATGTTTTCACGTTAATGTATTATTATATTAAAAGTTATAGTTTATTGAAACTGTTACATTCTAAATTCTAGTTCTAAGCTGAATCGAAAATTAATTTATAAACATTTTATATTATTTATTAAAATTCAATCTTTGGCATTAGAAAAATACTTAATAATATTCAGTGTTTTATTAAACTTCTCAAACCAAATAAAACATTATATTAATTGTAAAGATGCAAAAATCATAATTAAAATAGGAAACGAAACAAAATTAACGAGGCGACCACATAAATTTTAGAAAGAGTCTCCGGTATTAGTGAGCAATACAAAAATTTAATAACTTGATGGCAAAGGAATAGAATTTATAAAATTGAAAAGAATATCGACTGTTGCAAGTACTTGTTTGGATAAAGTAAAATAACCTGTCGAGATTTCCCGTCCAACTCGTTAATATTTTAATAGACAAATTAATAAATTTATCGATGGGATCAATTACTGGTGTGAGGATGAACTAGTTGTATACACAACAAAATCCTGATTTATTATCGTGCCAGTGTGAAAAAATATTCTAAGTTGTTATTCTCTCTCTTACCAATTTCTTCGACTGTTCTTGCCGGCCCTAAAAATAAAAACAATAAAGTAAAAGTTTCAAATTTCCAAAAATTAATTTTAACAGACACTACAGTTCTGCAAATGTATTGTATGTACAATTTTACCACACAGCGGTGAGCTCGTTTAGAGTTTGAACGAAACGAGTTTTGTGCTTCTGTAAAAGCCATTTTTGGAATTTTTACAAAATTCGTAAAACACCTAAAGCACATTCAACACAAGATTTGGCGACATGATAGAGCTTTTGTTAAAACGGTAAAAAAGATTGTTTGATGATAAGTATTCTAAAGATGATGATATTTACAAATTTATTTACACAATATTTGGCGATATTAACAAAATAAACATTTATGGCAACATAGGTTTATTCTATTCTTACAGATACATAAGTTGATTGTTACAAATCATCTTGGTCTGTTTTTCCTTGCCGTGTTGGTGTTTCGTCAGCATCAGTATGTCTGTGTGATTCTGATTAGTTCCAATCTCGTTTGTAAGGCTGTGGGGGTGTTTTCTTTTTTGTCTGTACCTTTGGTGGATTGTCTGATCTTTCCGGTCGGTCTTTTTGATCGTCGGTTAAGGAAGAAAATGTTCTTTTACTTGGTATATTGTGTCGTACTCTGTGAAGAGAATCGCGTTGGTTGTTTTTATCTCATTGTCCCTGAAGTTGTGTTCAAGCGTTCAATTTTTGTTGATCAACTACAATTTAATGGACTTGAATCGGCTTTTGTTCCGACATTTCGACAAAAACTGATCAACGATAGATTAGCTGAATTATGGCGTCGAAAGTAGTCATACGGGAATTTGTAACAGTTATGGTAATTATTTAAAAGAAGAGATATTAAACAATTTATTTAACTTGAGGAAAGATCGTAAGAAACTTTTCAATTAATTAAGGTTTTGGTTGAGATAAAAATGTCAGTGTCTCAAGCGTGATTCGAACCCACGACCTTCGGCTAAATACGCCGTTGCTCTACCACTTGAGCTATCGTGACCTCGATCCACTCGGACACCAACTTCCCATCTCAACCACACCTTTTGAATTTTCCCTCCTTTTTGCCATTTTTCAAATGTCGTGTAATCTATTTGATTCTCGGCGACAAATGAAATGGCCACGGAGAGCTTTCATGGTCCGCTTGACCAAATAAATTATTTTCAATTAATTAAGGTCTTGGTTGAGATAAAAACGTAAAATGGCAAAAAGAAAGGAAAATTCAAAAGGTTGGGTTGAGATGGGAAGTTGGTGTCCAAGGGGTAGCTCAGTGGTAGAACAGCGGTGTATTTAGCCGAAGGTCGTGGGTAATTAAAGTATTTTTGAAAGTTCCTACCCTCTTCCTGGATTGCTGGTTGGCTAATATTTAAAAAAGCAAGTTCTTCTTTCTTTTAAGGAAATTTCTGGGACTGTAATAGACTCCCTTTTCATCTTTACCACCCCTTGTTATAGCTGTATATGACTTATTTGTCATGTGGGTTCGTTTTGCCAGTTTTTGGTCTTAGTAGTTTTCAGAATTGGGTTTGTTGTCATCAGTGCTGTTTTAATTTATAATTTATTTATAATTTGTTAAATAGATTTGTTAATTTTTACTTACTTTCCGTATGTTTTAGAAAACGGTAACATCTCATTTTAGTGTTTGCGTTGGTTCAAGTTATGAGTTATGAGGTTGCTAAGGCGGGTATGTCATCAACATATCTATATGTCTTTGTGATGTTCTGTCGTAATTTCGGGGAAGCATATCTCTTCGATATTTGTTAATATAATTTAGCGGGTATGGCTGAAGTATGATTAATCCGAAGACTACTGGAGGAAATGTCATGATTTTCAGATAAACTAAACCTTTTTTTACTATTTATAATTATAATGTACCATAAAACGACCATTGTTGGACATACTTATTAAGAATATTGTATTTGATGAAGCAAGCATATTTGCTCATTATTAAACCAATTATTTATATAGGTTTATTTTATTTTTTTGAATACCGAATTAGAATTTATTGTTAAATTAATTCTTTTGTTTCATTCTAGTTGCAACATTGGATTTCTTGGTTGAAATTATGCAAAATTATAGATGAATCTAATCCAATTGTCTTCTCCCCTTTCCCTGTCGTTTCAGCAATTATATGTTTATATACGGATTTTAAAGGAGGAAAAATGGTTTAATGTTCAATAAAACCTATTTAATTTTAACCTCTTTGTTTGAATATTGGCTAAAACATACTGAGGAAACCTTAGAACAATTAGAAAATCTCTTTTTAATTACAGATTGTAAGAACCCCTGATGCAATTACTGTTGTTAGGAAATTTTCACGTCTTGAATTGGTTGAAATTTCGTGGAAAGGAAATCTCCGCAGATGCTGTTAATGAGCGGGGCGTGCCGGCATGTTTTAAGAATGGAATTTTCATTGGCAGACAAAAAACGCAACTTGAAACTTTAACCGTAAATAACAAGGATGTCTGACTGAAAAGATGGTCGCACTAGCAAATGTTGAACATTCACAGAAACCTCCTCTCTCTCAACATTTTGAGCCTTCTTCGTGGAAAGGCAGAATTTTATTCGTTCATATATTCTTGAGATTAAACTCAAACAGAAATGAATTTTAAAAAAAATTGTTTCTTGTCTTTATTTAGCTCGTATGTTTCTATTGCTGTCGGCTTGCTGTAATAGTTCGGTCGATAAAATTTTATATCTTGAAATTCAATTTCGTCCGAATGCTATCTATGTTGTTTTTGATGACCATTGATGGTGAGTATGCCATATATTACACATTTATTAGTTTATATATTTATATATAAATTTGTAATATATAAATCTTTTTAATCAAGCTCTGATGATGTTGAAACATTCAAACTCAAAAGCTTAGCATAAAACTAATGTTTTGTTCCTGTTGATGTAATAAACCAAGGACTAGAATTCATATAAGCATTGGACAATATGCCACCGCCTTTCAAGCGTAAACTGTGGGTCTTGAACACTGTGCCAAGGAGATAAAAAGGCTGGGGATTGTCAATATACGAATAGCCTTCTGTTCGGACAGCCAGGCATCTCGGAAGGCAATTGCCTCATCGACGGTAAAGTCCCGAGTCGTTTGGGATTAGAGCTCTGTCAGACATTGTGGAAGATAAAAAAAATTACCCTTGTCTGGGTACCAGGGCATCCAGGGGCAAAGAAGAGGCCGAAAAGTTGGCCAAGTTCAAAGTGGACACATATTGGCCCTGAACCCTTGTGGCTTACCAAACTGCCAAAAACGCGGATCCAATAGACAATGGATTAATAATAAATCCTCGGGTCAATGGGAATGTAGCACTAGAAAAGAGGTATGTCAAAAAGTTTCTCAAAGGAGATTTATCGGGAACGTTTATTGCTGAAACTACAGAACTACGAATATTTGACGACTCTGTTCTTACTAAACCCATAAAACAAAAAGCCTACGTAGCAAAATTGCCAATCCTCTTTTCAGACGGGCATTTCAGATCCCTTTCATGTAAATGTCCTCCGTTGTACGTTGTTGTTTGAATCTCGTTGAATTTTATTTTTCAAACAGCTTGGACTCGTTTTTATGAGCCCTCTTTAAATCAGACCCTGGGTCGGCAGATTAGAAGTGTTTTACGTGTCTTATCTTTCACAGTCGGATTTGCATTTTCGCGTTTATGGTATGTCGGGCTAAGAATTGTCACATTATACAGAACAAACACGTTGACGTTATACAGTCAATCATTTTAATGTTTAATCTGACAAGGAAACACATAATGTGTGAATTAAAAAATCTATATTGTTCAACACTGATAACTCTCTTTTAAAGGCTAAAGGCAAAAAATGTTTTATTCATTTATATGAATTTTTATAAAATCAGACGGACCGGTTAGTTCTGCGATTGGGTATTTTGGTCAATTTATAGGATTGACAAATGGAAAAAGGAATTCACCGCGAAGAGGAAGTGAACCTCGTTAGGATCGACGGCTCGAAAGTGGGATTGGCGTTGAAAGCCGAGCACCACTTCTACTCAGAAATAATTCCCCTTTTCAACGTTTATTACGGTCAAAAACTAGCTGATATTAATGGGAAATGCTGAAAGTGATTTTTCTTATTTTCATTCAATCCGATTTCAAATATACACTGATGACCTTTTCCTTCGTACGATTTGGCTTAGATCGATTTCATAGGAGAAAACAATGTAAAACACGGAAAAAGAACCTGTTGCATTTTTGCAAAGAAATAATCTGGAGTTGATTGCTCTGTGTGCACGTCACGTGAACGCCGCTCAAAGCATTTCCGATGTTTGCGATTCAATCTATTTGTCTTAGCACAAGTTCGAGGATTTGGTCAAAACGAGGCCAAGTAAAAACGGGCAAAAAAATTGTGATTAATGGCAATAATGATCTAGATATACAAAAGAATCAACCCTTTTTCGCCGTCGATACTTGTCAACAATACAAAACATTCTAACAATAAGTGTGCTTGCTGTGAGGTTTACATTATGGTAAAAAGTGCTTTCTTTCTAAGTGCTTCGGCTTCAGTACTTTTTGAATTCCTTACCAGGTCGCATGGGTCTTTCTTTCACCACTTAAACAAAAATAATTGACTTTATTAATTAAAAAATGTATATCAATACTACAATAATAATTACACTAAAACATATTGTTCTCAATTTGCAAGTAGAAATATAATAAAACTATAAAACGTATTTATTAAATATAGCATATTTAAAAAGAAATTATATTCTATATTATGATATATAGAATATATATTATATATAATATNACTAAAGTTAATGTGCTGATTGGATTACTAAGAAGGGTTTTCAATTTGTCGTCGAAAGGTGTTACCAAGAAAGACAAAACACTGGTTCGGGAAATTTTAAAAAAGAATGGGTATCCGAGAAAAATGGTAAATAAATTTATAAACAATAACAATCTATGGAAGATAAACCCAAACGAAAACTCAGAAAACCTAGAAGATGAAAATGATTCTGGAATTTCCTATGTCACTTTCCCTTACATCCAAGGGTTATCGGAACAGTTGAGAAGTTGTCTGAAAAGGAAGTTCCCTCTAGTTAAGTTGGCCTTCCGAAACAGTAATGCGGTCAAAAAATACAACTCACCGCTAAAAGATAAAATTGAGAAAGGACTACAATTAGGCCTGGTATATAAAATTGAATGCAAAGACTGCAAGAAAGTATACTATGGTGAAACCAAACGATACCTAAAGAATAGAATTTATCAACATAAATACACAGTCCAAACTAATAAAAACAATGAAACTGCCTTGGCACAACATGCAGTTGATGAAGGTCATACTTTTTTATTTAATGATGTTAATATTGTTACAAAGGAACGAAATAGTAAAAAACGAAAGTCCTAGAGGCCCTTTACATAAAAAAAGATAAACTTTCTGTTAATTACCGCCAAGACTGTGATATGATAAGTGATTGCTATTTTAATTTGTTACACAATATATAAAAATATTCTAGTCAATTTTAAACTCTGGAGGAAACTTAAAATCTGTAATAGTTGTGATAATAATTGTTAAAATATTGTTAATAAAATAAATAAAATATGTTGTTTAAAAATAGATTTATAAGAAAAATGCAATTTTAACTGTTGAGTGGTATTTTTAATGTTGATTCGTTGGTAAGAGTCTAGTCAGGTTCAAAATATTAAAACGTTTGTTTCTAGTCTGAATAAGTACCACACTGGCTCTTTTTTAAAAATAAATTGTTATAAAATATTAATGACTGACGACCACTTTTTTAACCATTGTAAGTAGTGAAGAAACAATGATAACCATGTTGATGTAAAAATGTAAAAAAAATATTTGTTCTGTGTACAGGCGTTAACTCACCTGAGGAAGGATTAAAATAAATCCGAAACGTTGTGGATAAAAACTGGTTGTGGTTTTTTGAGATGACCTATTATCCCACCTTCAAGAAGGTAGAATCATAAGATTAATGATTATTGAGGTGAGGTACTGAGATGCGGTCTGGTGTGACGTCGATTTAAAAAAGAAAAAAAAAATTTCTTTATCGTACTAACGTTTCGTTCTTTATTGAGATCATCTTCAGGGCTTGGGATTTATAAACATTTTTTTCAAATTTTACAAATACATGTAGGATGTGAAAAGAAATGAATTTATACAATGCTAAACACTTTTAGATTCAAAAATTAACTTCATTAAGTAACGGTCACTAAACACCACACATTGCTAAAATTAATGGACTCCTAATCACATTAACTACTAAAAACAAATTTTTTTGGAGACTTCCGGACTTTAATTTGTTTATTAATGTATACTATGTCAAAATCTATTGGTACATGTAGGTTATACAGGGTGCCCCGTGAACAGACGGCAATACATTAGGTCTAAAAGTCTGTATTGTCCTCAGTCTGTTTCCCAATTGAATTCGAAGTATTTTACACTTCAGGTCAAATATCCCAACCCTCCACAAGTTTATCGGATAAAGTCCATCATATCTCATAAAATGTTAATTTTATTAAAATTTAATTACTGATGGAAAGGTCATGAAAGGCAAAATATGGTGATTAGAAGAAATAGTTACACCAAGCCATGATTTTAGTTTAAAAACAACAACTAATTTTACAGTTTTTTTTTTACGTATGAAGTATGCTACATAATAATCCAGACATTGCTCAAAAAGTATAAGCAAAACACCTTTTTGAATTTTTAACAATGATAATTTATGTAAATAAAATTAAACCCGAAAATCACTTACGTTCCTTAAAATGGTCTTTTCAAAAATCTACTTACCTTAAATAGTACTGAATCGTGATCATATAATTAATTATTATTAAAGTTTTTCTATTTAAAACATATTTGATTATGTGATTGACTTTTTTCAAGTCTTGTTAATGATATGTTATGTTTAAAATTTATTTGCTTTTTTTATAAATTACAATAAAAATACATAAGATTTTCTTAAATATATTTTTGGTTCTTTAAAAAAACCTGGTTTCTGAAACTTAACGATAAACGCCAAACTGCTAATATGAGAGCAATAGAGGATTGATTGGTTAAAGGACCATCTGCATATTAATGTCCGTTCAAAACATTTTATAAATTGAATCTAAAAGTGGTGAGAGAATGTATCCTTGAAGAATCCCTCTGTCTTCAATCTCGGGCCAAATGATATATCACCGTGTAAAATAGTGACACGGTTTCTGAACGAACTCTCTTGCTGGGTGTCAAGTAAAATGCTCTGCTTACAATTTTTTTAAATAAAAAATTTGATAAAAAATTTAATTGTCTAGTGCTATTCTCTACACACGAAGCAGTATATGTTAAAAAATATTGAATACTAAGCGATGTAATTATTTATGTTAATAATTTAATATTAGTTTTACTTGAGTTCAGTAATCAACTTTACACATTTAATGTCATAAATAATTTGTAATAAATGCAATAATAATAGTTTTTGAACTGAGCGTCGGTAGCCGCAACGGTTTAGGCGTTGACACGGCGCTCATCACTGTAAGGTAAAGGTCCCGGGTTCGAATCCAGGGCCGCTTACAAATGGGCTTTTTTTTCAAAAACACCAGCACCCTGAGGCAACCTCTGCTGTTGGGAACCCTCGTAAAAAAACGTTTTTGAACACAATATTTGAAAAAACAAAATCAACGTCATGAATGGGATTCGAACCTGCATTGACTTTTTTAAATCTCAAATCTCGTGTTCAAAAATGTAGTATATTTCAGAGTGGAACCGATACCGATAAAAAACGTTAATATAATGTAAAAGTTAGTATATTTCTGTTAAACCTGTTTGGGCTATATTCTGTGTTGTTTACTGTACTTTCTAAGGTCAATTAATTATCTCGATCTAAGCAAAAATTATGTGAGTTGCAAAATTGCAAATTTCTCCTTAAATTTACTAGCAGAGACATAATCACAGTGTCATTACGATAAGTCATCCTGTCAATTTCAAAACGTGAAAATGACCGAAGATCTGTTGAATAAGTTTAATTAACAGGTTTACGTTTAGTAAAAAATATATTCAAATTGAGTTTAAGAAAGCTTTGTGGCTTAATGGCGTTCAGCTAATTCGAAGAGGCTCCTTTCCCACCCCAAGCTTGTTAACCATGTTCGATGCAGATTCGATTGCCTAAGGCCATTATTTACTTGAAATAACTTTGCCAAAGTACTCGGAATAGAAATAGGATTTGCCAATATCAGGTGTTGGTTTGATGCACGGATAAATTAGTTAAGGTTTAATATCCAACGTCGGAAGCTTAATAGGGACAAGTTGCCTCATGGACTTGTCTCATAGCGCTAAAGCAGTCAGTAAGCCTAACTAAATAATACTTCTTTTTACTTTTTAGTAGTAAGTCGGAAGAAATCGAACAAACGGTAAGGGGCTTAGAATCTGTAACAGGTTTAAAAATTTTCCTTTATTCAAAGCACATGGCGGATCTTCTATAAGGCGAAGAATCTACAAGAAAAGGCAATTCTCTTGGTGGAAGTTTGCCACTTGTGAATGGGAAGTTAAAGCCCACTCTACCGTTATAAACGTTTTCTCCAGAGTGCAATTATGGCCGTAAAATTAGCCCATCTCTCACTATCTCTTGTTTTCTCTCTCTCTATCTCTATCTCTCGCTCATTCTGGAGTTAATATTACATTAAGGAATCCTTCATTTAGATCCATTACTCCTTTCTGTCGAAATAAATTGATGAAATATACTCTCCTATACTTCTTGAACAAACCTTGTTACATTCTTATATTTTAATCCTTTCCAAGATTTCTTCCCTTCCAGAAAGTACAAATTTAGTTTAAAACTTTACTCGATTTGGAAAATATTTTGTTTATATCATTGTGGACAGAATAACTCGAACTCGTTTTACGACTAGAATGTACAATATGATATATACGATGTAAGTATGGAGTAAATTATTACATGAAATGTATAAAAATATTATTATTATATATGTCAATTATTTAACCAACAAAACATGATGAAAAGTACCTGTAGAGGAAGACTTAGAAGTTGCATCGCTTCCAGCGAGCTGGTTGTTAGCTCCGGTTGTTGGAATGTGTGTTAGTAGGGCGTTGAAAAAGTTGTACAGCTGAAAATAAAAAACATCTATGAACAATTTGTTATCAATTAAAATAATTGAGACATGAAACTCGGTTTGTTCAAACCCCAATGAGTTACGATTTTACAGATTAACAATAGATAGCCAAACGTCTGATATTTTGCGTATAATCTTGTTTCATATTAAATAGTCAAATTTTAATTTTATGACCGGAAGCGATAGTTTGACAATCATTGAAACTTCTAGCATAACGATCTAATATGAAGACAGAATAAGGGCAAATTTATCGATATATTATCATACAATAAACATTTGTTGCCCCCTCTGATGCCTTGTAATAGTTATGTATTAATCGTCTACTTGTGTTACTTATTTCTTTCCATATGTATTTATAAATATAAATTTATACCTACCAAAACACTTTTGCTCTCTCATATCTCTCACTCACTCACTCTCTCTCTCTCTCTCTCTCTCTCTCTCTCTCTCTCACTCTCTCTCTCGCATACACACTGATAGAGAGAGAGAGAGAGAGAGAGAGAGAGAGAGAGAGAGAGAGAGAGAGAGAGAGATGAATTCACTTGGACATTTACTTCGGAAGCAAAGCCCGCGTATGTATCCGGCATATACAGGACCGTTTCTCCAACTTAATTGATGGGTGTCATTCCTTGGTTACATATAGAGAGCTTGTAGGCAATGTCATTGAGCGAATAGTCTTTGTGCCCCTGTGGTTTTTTGGAAGAAAATGTTTAGTATGAGAGGCCCTATGGCAGGTTATTGAGTACTTAATGAGATGCGCAAAGGAATACCGAGTATTCCACCACTTCACTAGAATAAATCGCACATTTCTTTTTATCTCTTTATCCATCTATTGATTATGCTCTCTACCAGTATTTTCGCGCGCGCGCACCCGCACGCACACACACACACACACATCATTGTATGATGATAGGGTGCGGATAAGTGTGAAAATTTTTTTTTGATGAAACTTCATCGAAAATAGAGTAGAATGCCTCAAAAAGGGTATCCTATCTCAGTTTAATACGAAGTTATGATTGTTCTGGGTTTTTTGAAAAATACAAAAAAAACATGACCCTTATGCCGTTAAATCGCGTTTGCCGAACTTTTTCCTAACTTACTGGCAGGTTTTTCGGAAAGAGCGATAAATTTCCTATAGGACTACACTATTTTCATTTTTTGCGACACACCTAAATATCATTTATAACAAAGGAAATGTAAAATTGATCAGAAATCCGGAATTTTCATTCTCATAGGAATTCAAGAATTTACCTCTGCTTTACAAATAAACTTAGACAGTCGAATCACACGAAAAACTCTTCATTTAATAACCTTTCTAGTGATATCAGCATAACGGATTGACACTTTTTTGGGAGAAGAGACCAAGCTTCAAAAGTTTATTATGCTTTCTTTGTATGCTTATTTGAGAAAAAATGCACATTAAACAATGTATTCAGGATAAAATTTTATAAACCTTGGCTGTCTGAAAGGTTCTCTGTGTGGAATAAGGTGAGGGGGTACCATTGCACCACCCAGGTCCCTTGATCTCAACCCTATGGACATCGTTTTGGTTTTTCTCAAACAACAAGTTTACAAAGTTCAGGTCAACAGAGAAGAAGAATTAAAGAGAAGAATAATTACTGCAGCAAAAAACAGGAAAAAGTTAAATCTCTGTTACCTGCTCTCGGTTGATCGAAGGGGTGGAAGAGGTTTATCATGTTCGCATTCCTTTCCTTTCTTTTTATTCTTGCTTTAGAAAAGTTGCTCGTTAAAGAAAATAATAATTTGCATTCAGGATAAAATTTACTAATAAACTGCCTACCCCTGTTCCTAATGCACAACCTTACTCGTTTCCGAACATCTCCCACAGTAACTGAGAAATTTAACTTCTCCATAACTGCAGTAATTATTCTTTTCTTTAACTCTTTTTCGCTCTCGGCTTTTACCATGTAGATTTGAGCAAAACCCCAAAGGATATTTATTTAAACATCCAAATAAATGTTTAAATAAGTTATGAATTTACTTTATTAAAAAAAAACCATGTTTTCTTGTTCCAGCTTTTCTCATGTGGCACAAATCTAATTAGTGCTCTTAGTCTACTCACTATGACATGAAAAGGTAAATTAATTCGTTGTGCGTTAATTCATCTCTGGATCATAATGTCGTCGTCTTCTCTCTAATTTTAACCAAACATCCTTTAATCAGCATTTTCTGAAATGTGGACCCGCAAAAACCCCTAAAAATACTTATATGTGAATATTTTAAAAGTGAAATGAAAGCAGAAGTAACAGAAATTATGTTCTGACAAATATTCTTGTAAGTTTATTTCGATGCAAAGATTAGAATTGACAATATTTTAATAAAATAATTATTCAGAAATCGTGAGATGCGGTGATGTAGGTTTCAGAAAAACATTTTCTTTATCGTGCCAACGTTTTGATCTTTAAATTCACTAATTTCGTGGTCCGCTTGACCAATTAAGCATTACAATTAATTAAGGTTTTTAGTTGAGATGAAAAAAAGTTAATGGCACGAGAGGGATTCGAACCCACGACCTTCGGCTACATACGCCGCTGCTCTACCACCTGAGCTATCGTGACCTCGATCCACTCGGCCATCAACTCCCCATCTCAACCCCACCGTATGAGTTTTCCCTCAAAAAAAGGCAAAAGGCATTAAAAAAATCAGCTGCTAATTGGAACGTCGCGTTATTCATGTCGAGAGACGTGGTTGTAGAAGTCCTTCAACCTGATGATGAGCTAAAAGGCTCGAAATCCGGATCGTTCAAATTCAGAAACTTACTGTGAGTGGGAACTATCTTTTTAAAAAGGAAAGAATCCATTACAGTTCGTGGTCCGATTGACCAATTAACATTTTTCAATTAATTAATATTCATGAAAGGTATTGGCTAGAATCAAATAGATTACACGACATTTGAAAAATGGCAAAAAGAAGGGAAAATTCGAGAGGTTAGGTTGAGATGGGGAGTTGATGGCCGAGTGGATTGAGATCACGATAGCTCAGGTGGTAGAGCAGCGGCGTATCTAGCCGAAGGTCGTGGGTTCGAATCCCACTCGTGCCATTAACTTTTTTTCATCTCAACTAAAAACCTTAATTAATTGTTTTGATCTTTATTGAGATCATCTTCAGGGCCTGGGATTTACAAACATTGTTTACATTTAACAAATACATTTAGGATGTGGAAAAGTGAATTTATACACTGCAAAATATATTTTTTATATTCAATCAAAGTATTTCTACTCACTCAAAGTGGTTGTCTTCTGTGTAACTGTGCCATTCTTGCGTGTCGTGTTGAGAGTGCCAGTGAGATATTGCTGTTTTATGTTTATATACATTGGATTTTAAAGGGGTGGGAAAGGAAGTCGGTATAAAAAAGACATTTTTGTATAAGGCGTCGGCTTCTCTGAGGTGAAAAGAGCCGACGAAGGGAAACAATGTGTTGGTTATGATTCGGCTACAGCACTCGCTACCCACCATTTTGAACACCAACACAATTTCGACTTCAAAAATCCAAAAATATTACATACAGAACAAAACAAACATAAACGTAATTTCTTAGAAATGTTTCGACTTCAAAAATCCAAAAATATTACATACAGAACAAAACAAACATAAACGTAATTTCTTAGAAATGGTTTATGTCAACAGAGCCTCAACTCAGCATCAATTACCAAACAGATACATGTAAACTCAGTCGCAGCTACGCCAATATCATTAATCAAATTCCACACATCAAATATTTTTCATATAGTCTAATTTCCCAACAATTTAGCTTTCCTTTTCCTATTTTATCCCTTTCTATATAATCCTGAAAGGATAATCTGGCCGAACCATTACCAACGGTTTTTCTCTTCGTCGGCTTCTTTCACCTCAAAGAAGCCGACTCCTTATACAAAAATGTCTTTCTATAGCGACTTCCTTCCCCACCCTTTCAAAATCCCACGTACATAAACATAAAACAGCAATATCTCACTGGCACTCTCAACACGACACGCAAGAATGGCACAATTACACAGAAGACAAACACTTTGAGTGAGTAGAAATACTTTGATTGAATATAAAAAATATATTTTGCATTGTATAAATTCACTTTTCCACATCCTAAATGTATTTGTTAAATGTAAACAACGTTTGTAAATCCCAGGCTCTGAAGATGATCTCAATAAAGATCGAAAGTTGGCACGATAAAGAAAATGTTTTTCTGAAACCTACATCACATCACACCAGACCGCATCTCACGATTTTTGAATAATTATCGATTAACGGTCACTAATCACCACACATTTCAATAAAATATTAATAAATGTTGAAAAAATATAATTTATGATTTAACAAAAAACAATATACGGACTTGAAATAAAGTTAGATCCTTTAATAAGAAATATTCATATTTTTCATGTAATTCTAACTTGGCTGTAAAATTAATTTATTTGTTCTGTCAATGTTTAATCTCAGGCATGAAAATCAAATTAGACTTAATGACATGTTATTAAAACTGTTTGTCAAAACTGACCAATTTTTGTTTCAACCAGAGCCGGTTCAAATCGACAGAATTTAGCTTTACGTTGAATCTAAGCGGGGTACAAAGAGAAAAGCTTTAGACGAGTATACCACCGGATCAAACAGGTCGGGTAAATATTGGCTTTCTTCATTGAGAAAACAATCAATTTCTTTTCTGAACAATTTTGCTTTATCGTGATTTATTCAAGGTTTATTAATGTTTATCGACGTATCATTTTATATTATTATCTTATAACGGTATCGCCAATATTGATCACTTACTGGTCATCCTTTAGATGGCCAACGATCGTTTTATAATGAAAGAATAAAAACATTCTTTAGCAGTTAGGCTTTAGAACCTCATCAAACTTTTCACCAAAGCGTTAAAATATTGCGAAACCAACTATTCAAGTGAGACAGGATCAAAGGAAAAGGCAAAAGTAAATACTTCTACGCTTTCTCCAAGCATAGAGCTTTAGCCAGGGGGCGTTTAT